GCCTCTCATGAGTCTGGTTGAAAAGACCACGCGGCAGCTCGGGGTTCGATTCCCCGTATCCGAAATCATCCCATGATCCGGTTTTTTTTTTTTTTGGCAAACAGGAACTCCAAAATACAAAAAAACGCGCGTGGTGTTGTTGTATGCATATGCATGTACTACACAGCTTTTGCAGAGTCAAAAGTTCCACAGAATCAACGTCGACCTCGACCTTACCCGGATACGCCTCTTCTCATCGAATATGCATTTCTGCCTTGCTGTAAAGAAAAGGTGACATTTCCCGTCGGCTCGAATAAAAAGAAAGCCCATAGTATCATATACCTTACACTGTTTGTAGACTTTGGGCTGTTCGGTTATAGTCCTGCGCATGACGGATCCCACTACATGACCATAAACTTGTTGCTCAAACAGTGCGTCGTCGGATATGGTGTAATGGCTAACATTGCCGCCTCTCATGAGTTCTCTTCGAAAGTACCTCGCGGCAGCTCGGGGTTCGATTCCCCGTATCCGAATGCATGACTTGATTATTTATGTTTTTTTTTGGCAGAAACTCCAAAATACAAAAAGGAGCAAACTCCGTCGCGCGGCTGGAATGACTAGCTAGTATGAGCGGCAGCTCAGAATCAATTCCCCGTATCCGAATTTATCTCCCCTTTCGTGGAATTGTGCAACATGACAATCGTCGCCTAATAAATCGCTATGCTCACACACACACCCAAAGATCAGAAATAATAGAGGTGACATACGTCTACTCCATCGCACCAACCCTCCTCCAATACGCGACGTACTCCTCAACATGTCTCCGATCCAACGCCGTGCACCTTACCATCGAGACCGAATCGACCCTCGCCGTCGCCGTGCGCAGCACCACACTTCCGCTCGCCATCGTCTCGAAATCGCGCTCGAGGAACGCCATGATCTTGAACGCGGCATTACGCTTGGGGTCGTCGCCGAGCGCCCTTACGCGCGCGAGCCACTTTGCAAGCGGGATCAGCGGGAGCGGCGCGCCGTGCCGCTCGCCCAGGATCCCAGAAAGGCTGAGCATGATCCCCTCCCACGACTGCCGCGACGGGTTCTCCACGTGGTAGAACGGTTTGAACCCCCGTGAAAAGAGCAGCTCGGTCAGTATGGACCCCGCGCGGTTAACAGGGAGCCACGAGAGGGACTGCGGAGGGGAGCGAAGAGAGATCACTTTTGTCAGAGATTTTTTGTTTTCTTCACATGGGATAAAGAGGACTCACGCCTTGGAGCGCAGGGAGCGCGCCGAGCTGCTGCGAGGCGCGGACGATTATCGGGAAGTGCTCAGACTCGTTCCATGCACCGGATCCTTCGGGCCCCGTCATCTGCCCAATGCGCACACTGCATCCCTGCAGCAGAGGTTCGTTCAGCCCTGCGCCTGCCGCCGCGACGCCGTACAGCTCCGCGGCACCGAGCAGCAGACGCTCACAGACCCACTTCGCCTCGGGGTACCCGAACTCCGCGCTGTACGCCGCGCCGAGGAACGTCTCGGGCACCTCGAAGGGCCCCTGCGCGTGCAGCGAGGGGAAGCGTCCCACAACCGCGATTGAGGAGGCGAAGAGGATGCGCGTTGGCGCAGAGCCGACGGTGCGCCGCCCGCTGCTGAGCAGCGCGAGCCGGATGAGATTGGTGAGCCCGTGGATATGTGGTTCGAAGGAGGATAGGCTCCGGTTGAAGTTGACCGGCCAGGCATTATGGATTATGTGCGTGGCGTTGAGTAGCTAAGGGGGCGGGAAATGAGCGCTCAGAAGGGGTGTCAAGCCACGACACACGTACTTCATTGAAATGGTCCTCACCAAGGCCGAAATCTTGTCTGCCCAGGTCAGCCGCATGAATCACAACCTTGTCCCACGCGCGAGCCGACATGTACGCGCCGCGCTTCGCCATCATGTCCATCTGCCGCTGCCGGGGCGACGCCGTATGCATACGATTGAGACAGATCACTCTTGATACGTCCGGGTCACCCGCGAGGCACGCAAGGAGGAAACACCCAAGGCTCCCCGTCGACCCCGTCAGCACGACGACCTTCTTGTTACCCGCCGCCGGCCGGCGCCTCGCCCGCGAGGCACACACCTGCGCCGCGAGACTCTCGAACCCGCGCAGTACGTCAAAATACTTCTCGAACATATCCTCCATTGCCCGGACACGGCGCTCCTCCCGCGTCGTGCCGGCGCCGGGCGCATGCGCGACCCCAGTCATGAGGCGCGTAACCGCGAGGTGGAGTTTGTCGATGGAGGAGTTGTCGAAGCAGAAATCAGGCTCAATGTCTTGGATGGAGGTCGGCAGGTCTGGTGTGATGCGCAGCCCGTTCAGGATGGCACGTCGTAGTTGGCTCGCCTGTAAGCTGTCCATGCCTGCCTCGAACAGATCCATCGTATCGGTGATGTCTTCGTTCCCGGCGATGCCGTGTACGAGGCCACGAATGTGCTTGAGCAGCGCGCGGCCGCCGTCGTGCAGCGAGGGGAAGGGATGGGCGCTCTGCATATCAACTCTCTCGTAGCATAATTTGATCTCCTTGTCGAATGCCGTGAGAATAGCCTTGCGGGCCAAAGTGCCTTTGTCGGTGCGGATGAAAGGCTTCGTTGTTTCTCGGGTCAACACTACCATCTCGTTTGAGACTTTACCATGCTTGTCGGTGAAGGAGTTGCCTCGCTCGAGATATGGTTGGATTGAGGTGAGAACGGCAAGACGCATTTCCTGTTGGTTGACGTCGGCAGAGTTAAAGCTTTGAGCGGACAGCTCGACCAAAAGTCCAAGGCACACTTGACCAGCACCGAAAGCTAGAACGTCCTTCACAGCAGGGTGTTCTCTGACTCTTTGCTCGAGATTAGTTGGTCGGATTTTCTCTCCAGTAGAGAGGACCAATAGATCATCAGCGCGTCCCATGATTCTGTACTGCGTGTTGTCATTAGGGTTTCCAATGAGAAGATCCTGGACTTCATAGGGCTTAGACCAGCCAGGCGGGGAGCACACTAGTCGAAAAGATTGACTCCCGTCATCGAGTGGTATAATCGTAATCCCTGTATCCGTCCGCGGCTTCACGTAATGCCAGTCATACCCGCTGCCGACTCTCTCGATGGGAGTTATCGGACCGAGCTCCGTGCACCCTAAGAGTCACAAAAAAAGGACAATCTAAAGATAACCACGTACGTGATGACAGTAATGAGACTTACCCCAGTGGTTCAGCAGCTTTACGCCCGCCGCTGAAATTTCGACCCCAAAGCTTTCCTTGATGGGGGCTCCCCCCGTCGCGACAATGTCCAAGCCTTTCAGCGCCTTGAGGCCCATACCACCTGATAGGCCTATCATTTCCTCGAGGATAGAGGGAACGGTAAATAGAAACCGCGCCCCACTCCTTTCGATAGCCTGTAGCGTAGTCTTTCCAGTCGGAATTATGGACGCCGGTGGTAATATAAAGGGCATTCCGATTGAGAGCGACAGATTGGGAGCAAGGAAGCCAAACCCCTAGAAGCTACATGTGTTAGTGCGCAGAATCAATAAACACAACGCGTACGTGGTAGAGGGGCAATGTGGAGACAACATAGTCGAAAGGTTCTTGTTGTTCGGGCAGACGGTGGCAGGTGGCAAACATGAGAGGGTAGATTTGTCCATGAAAGATAGGTTTCGGCAGTCCTGTTGTTCCCGAGGAGTGCATGATGATAGCATCCAAGTCATCACGCTTCCAAGCCGTATACACAGAGGGTATCGTGATATCTTTTCTCTCATGATCAGGAGTCAGGAGGTCGTCGTATTTAAGAGCGTGGACAAAGGTCGGCACAGGAAGAGAGCTTTCTGACTGAAGTAGAGAAAGTGCCTCTTTTGAAGATTTGGCGACATGAGAGCTAATCAGAACGCATGAGGGAGATGTCTCTTTCAATAGGTGTGCGATTGCGACTGGGGTCAACCGCGCGGAAAGTAAAAGGACCTAGGTATCAAAGAGAAAAAAAAAGACAAAAATAGGCATAAGCTCAACTTTAAACTTCAGTGATGCCTTACCGGTGTACCAATGCGTAACAATGCTGTCATATAGACGAAGATACCGATGTCACTTCCTAGTAGGATCCCTACTGGCGCAGGTGTTTTATCGCGACGTGTACGACTCGTCGTACATCCACTACTGATTAACCACCACGACGCGTATTCGACTGCTGTCTGAAGCTGAGAAAAAGTGATCTCACAAGAGAAGTCGTCACCAGTGCGAGTCTGGACGCCAAAGACATGGTCAGGGTTATGCAAAGCAGCGAACTCGACGAGTTCCGGGACAGAGTTGACACCAAAAGGATGGTCGTGGCCATACCCAAGGTTAATATGCGGACGGATGAAAGTACTGCCTGAGATTTCCCGAGACATTAAGAGTATTTGGTTAGTAAGTTCCTGTTAGCAAAGAAGGGCAGTCTGTTTTGGACGCATGGCTGGCTGCGTTTAAATGACATGGCGTCCTTCTGCCATACGCAGGAACCAGCACTAGACGCATTCACTACAGAATCTGGCATGGAAGATCGCATCTATCAGATCGACGGACAGTTCTACAATCGCTTCGTCCAGAGTAGATGGAGAGGGGCGAAGTTGCATCTTGTTTACTGATACATTGGATTGAAACTTCCGCATTTGTCACAAACAACATGACAACTTGAAGATGCAGATACTCTGGTCCGTTGTAGTGTGTAGCCATCGAGATGGCTATACACCTGCTTTTTACTTAATCTGAAATGCTGGACGCTGTTTTATGATGTTTACCTTGGATCTGGAGATTTGGTTCAGCTGCTCAAAGACGAAATTCTTTCGTCTGGTAGTCGTACTTTGTACAACTCGTCTTTCCAAGACCTCTGAATTGGTTGGAGCCTGAAGCTTGAAACATGACAACATGGCGATGACAATCAATCCCGCTCCGGTGATAACTTCAATCTGATCACAAATGTGATTTGTGGATGCGAGTACGAATCTACGTATTCCACGAGCCACGTCATAGCTGTACCAGACAACTCGCTCTCCTATCTCCAGTCTAGCGCAACCGTCAATGATGTCATCTGTCGTGTTTTAAAATTACACTACGTCAATAACGGTGCGAACATTTACATCCAGTATTGGTTAGATTTTTCGGGAGAAAATAATCAAGAGGCACGTTCAAGGTGTCATGGCCGCTGAGGTGACTTCTCACGACTTTTTCTGGATGAGAAGGATCTTTCACAAGGCTTCCCGGAGGCTCCTCGCATCAGAAGGTATATCTTTCTAGACGAAGTACAAGATGAAAGCCGTGGAGTTGAATACTGTAGCGAGCTGTTACATATATTAATGGGTTAATGGTAATGATGGTTCGTTTTCATCGTTGGTACAGACACATGCTTTCCACTTTATCCGGCACTTGTACACAACAGCAACTCACGAAAGTCATGACATTCTTTCTCTCTTTTCCAAAGAAATGTATTCCAACGATTACCTCTAGATAAGTCATCTCTTGATCAACCCAAAAGAAGATTATTGCGGATGTTTGTGG